CATATTTTCGTTTGAATCACGAATCTGCTCAAGCATCACAATTAGAATGGAAAGACAAATTGTGTCTTTTGCACAGTGTAGCTTTGGATCTTGAGTCAATTCATTCGCAAGAACTCGTCCATAGAGATTTACACATTGGAAACATTTTGCAATCACATTCTTTGCATAACGCATATATCACTGATATTGGACTTTCTAAAAAAGTAAAGGAAGGAAAATTTTGCTGTACACTCAAGCGTCAGATATTTACAGTCTTGGAGTTATTATGCCAGAAATTTCAACCGGACAAAGAGCATTTAGTGGAATTCCATTCGATAATTATCTTGCATCAAGAATAATTGGTGGGTCAAGACCTAAATGTTTGGGACCTGATTGTTACATTAAATTAGCTACGAAATGTATGTTATGGATAAAGATCTTGATAAACGACCTACTGTAACAGAAATTAATGAAACGATCGCTCTTTGGTTAGATGAAATGGATCAGGAAGATGATAATGAAATCAAAAAACAATTTTTAAAGATGACAAGATTAAGCCCGAACCAATTAAACGAATACATTCACAAGATACATATACTAGCAAGCCATTATATACGAAGAAAATTTCAGAATATCTTAGTAAGCATATTATGTAATAGTAATCCAGAACGAAATGCCAAGCTTGTTTTAAAATTATATATAAAATATATGTTTATTTTTTTCTGCTTTTTTATTAACTAATTTAAATGGTCTGATTTTTTGGAATAAATAACTCATTTTCCTATATAATCACATAATTTGACATATTTAAGTCCTTATAAAACACCTATATTCAACCTGTTTCAAATTATACTTCCATGTTTAACTATTGAAATTGTTGCTATTATTGCTCAATTGGAGACTTTATTGCTATAATAATGAAAACACATATTGGAATAGGTTCGCTATCACACGGCTCCTAATTGTCCTATTGTCGGCGACAAACTTCCCTAACCAAGGCGGTGCCATTTATTAAAACTGGAGATGGGTTTCATGTGTACACATGAATCCTCAATCGAACGCATTAATGCGCATTCATGCGTATTTTATCCTAGATTTTATAGGAAAATTAAAGTAGGTATAATTTAGGCCGGAGGGTAGAGTTAAGAAATAGGAAAGAAAAATTTGAAATATTCCGAAAAGAAATGAATGAACACAAAAGACGAGAAGGGTTGTGCAAAAAATTTGAGCAAAGTTTCGATATTTTCCGAAAATATAAATTCAAAAAATTATATCATGCGATGTTATTATAAACTGCGCATTTTTCCCATCACTAATTAAAACGCTCCGTCTATAGTTCTGAAAAAATGAGTTATACATTATGACATAATTATGATTTGACCAATTACGTAAAAAAGTCATTTATTGTTATTAAAACGTAAGAACTTCCAAGTAGAGCTTGGATCCGGTGGATAACGGTTATCTCTGCGAATTTTGGATATCCGCTTGTAAAAAATCCGTTGAATTACTGCTACTTTCATAATTCTTGGAACACCTGCTTGTTACCCGAAATCTTTTCAGTCGCCGGTAAATTATCTAACTCTTTGGAAACTACATTGCTGTCTTCAGACATTCAGTCCAGAGGCAGCGATGCAATTTCCGGAAAGTTAGATAATTTAACAGACGGCCAAAAAGATTTCGGGTAACAAGTAGGTGTTCCAGAAATTATGAAAATAGCAGTAATCAAAAATATACCGTAAAGTGCTGACTCAAGTACCCGGTGTGACAAATAATATAGATCAATTTTTAAAATGCTATTTATGTGTGCGTGTGATGTATAATATACGTGAATTTTAATTTTTCACTATTTGAATAATTGCATCACACAGGTACTTGAGTCAGCACTTTACTGTAGTCGATTCCAGATATAATGGATTTTTTATAACAAACAATCTAAATAAAAAATTTTTGTCCAACTGAACGAATTTTTACTATAAGAATTATTATAAAAAAAGCTAGCCGCAATCAGAATATACAGTATGCATTTTATTAATATTTTATAAAACTACTACCATCTGTTTCAATAATATGATTGCATGTTGTGCCTTCTTTTGTCAATTCATTACACTGGCCTTTTGATCTGTATTTAGTAGGCGAGGTCGTATAATAGTCTCATACCCAACTTCTTTTCCTTGAACCTCCTCTTTTTTTTTAAATTGATTATTGTCCACTGCATTCGTATCATATACTGCATATATATCACCCACCGCGTGTGTATTATCGACCACATGTGTAGCAATAACGTTATTAATATTATTATTCGCGCAACTCAGAGAAGTTTCGCTAGATAAATAATCTTCACTATCTATTAATCTATTATTACGATATTACGATTATGAATAAGTTATGTAAAAAAATTTTTTACGCTCAAGATAAAATACGAATTTATAAGAATTCTCTATTCAATGTTACGTATAAAATATGTCATTTATTCATGCCAAAATATTAATACATCATCATTATTATTAATCGAAGTATCAGATAAAAAAAATTCTCTAATCAAAGTTATATGTTACGTATGAAATATATCATTTATTCATGCCACGTATCATTATTATTAATAATTGAAGTATCGGGTAGTTTAATAGATATCCGGCTATCTGCAGAAATATTTTCGTTATCCGTTATGAACCTGGCGTACAGTTCTTAAATGCCTTAGCCCAGCTAAGCACTTCTACCATTCTCGCTTGATATTCACATGCATATCCATACTTCTTACTCCTAAATCCGACTTACTATTGTTCACAACCAGTTTAATACAATCATATGTGATGTGAACTATTCCACAAACTTGTATTCAACAAGATACATAATACCATTGTGAAAACATAAAAGGCTAAGACTGATATACATGTGATCAGAAATAAAGTGATCTCACGTATCGTGCTTTTCAAATCAGCAGATGATCGCCAATTACTCTGGAAAATTTCTTTATTTTCACTTAAAAAATCACAAATTCTAATTCTCTATATAGATATTATCCATTTACATATAATATCTTACGTATAATTGTACTAATATTTTTAACTTTTTTATCTAAATTTTCCCAAATGAATTTATTTTGAAATTCTTTAATACATTCATCAACATCCTTTTTATTAGATAATCATACGTACGTACGCAAAAAAAATTACTCTTTAATCAATCAACCGTTTATCACTAACCAAAATACGATTAACATTTGTTAAATTATTGTATTTTTAACAGCTAAATCTGATAAATATTATTGATCCAAATAATGAATGGGTACTGGATCTAATTATCAGAGATTAATTATGGACCATATTTTTTTGATATTTATTCTTCAGAATTAGTTACAAGTGGTGGATTCTAATTAAAGGTTATTGGTGGTATGAGTGACTAGTTTCGACACATTGTGGTGAAGTACAATTTTTTTTTTTATTGAGATGCAGTAAGTTTTAACTACAGTAGTATCAAAATTGGTATACCAGATTAATTGTAAAATTTGTTTATCCTTTAGACAGCTTAATGAACATAGTTATATTGATTTAATTTTAATTTGTTTCAAATAATTTGTATATAAAATTTTACTTTTATTTGGTCTTTAGAATTTAATTTTCTTATAATTAGAACCTTTTTCAAGCATTCATTATTAAGATGACTAGGAGGTTGCTGCTAATTAGGTAGGGGTCACGCAAAATTATTTGGGCCTGAGACATGCCCCTCTATATAAAACCATGTGCAGTGCTACGTACTATAAACAAATAGCATGCTATTCAATCAGATGCATGGATTTGGGAGACGAAATTATTTATTATAACTTGAAATAAATTCGCTTGAAGTTTTAGTTTTACAAGATCAGTAATCCATGGTTTAATAATAGTTAATAATTCAGATAATTTATCTTAGAGTTATTAAGTTTTTTTTTTTTTAATAATTTGTGTTTTATCGTTACAGTAAACCTTTAGGTATGCTTTGTTTTTAGGATCGGAAATGATTTAGTTATTTATAACTTAAAAGTAGTGGTACGTTGTCACGGGGTAAATTGTGGCTTGTTTTATTTTTTTAGCATAGTAGATCGAGGTGGGCCGGAAAAGATCTGTCAGATCTGTCAGATACGTTAGATCCGTCAGATATGTTGGATCTGCTATATAAGTTATATCTGTTAGATACGTTATATCTGTTAGATACCTTATATATGTTATATATGTTATATATGTTAGATAGAATTAGCGAATTAGATTGTAGCCAAAGAATAGGGATGTTAAGTCGTTTAGTCTGAACTAGCTTGACTGAGTTCAAAACTCAGACCGTTATGGTCAAGTTTGAACCAGCGGAACTAGTTCATTTATTAAATAAGGCACGTGATATAACTAGCTATGCTTCATCACGGGAATAATACGCATTATGTCATAAATAGCGAATTATTTAATTTATTTTGCTATATTAAATTTTTGGTCATAAAGCGATAATAATTGTAATGAATCATTCAATTTCCAATAGATTAAATATGTAAAATTGCTAATATAACATTGTATAATTATGACTGAAGTTTTGGGTTGATCTTTAGTATAGCTGGGCAATATAGAATTATTATAAGATTATAATATATAAAAATAACTATTTAAACTAATTTAAGCAAATTTGTAAATAGTTAGGGTTAGAGTAAGGGTTATAGTTTAAATTAGAGTTAGATTAGAGTTAGAGTTAGAGTTTTTTTATATTATAATCTTATAATATTTTTATATTGCCCAGTTATACTAAAGAAGATCCAGATGCTTGTTACATTACTCAAACTGATTTATTATACAACAATCTTCTTTCTTCATCAAGCTATTCAACACTTGGAGATCTTTGTATGGTGTTCCCTATTATTGCAAATACAATAAATAATATTCAGAATAATAATAATATGTTACAATAAGTTGCACAAAAGATGAAAAAAAAAATTAGATAAATATTGAGATGAGCTTAAAACTATCTTTAATGAAGCTGTAATTCTCGACACAAATAACAAGCTAATGCCATTCAATAATGAAGAGGAAAGGTATAAAGCACAGCATGCTATTTATACAACTTATGAAACAAATTATGCAATCAGAAGTGGTGGCATTTTGACAACAGAACCCTCTGAATCAGAAACTTCTTGTAGTTATTTCCATAAGAAATATGGTGTATTTATAAATCATGATAATATTCTTAAAGAATATCTTGATTTACCTGTTGAAGAAATTAATATTCTTGATTACTGGAAAACTAAATCTAAAAATTCTCAATGGGTTCAACTTGCTCGTATAGCATGTGACTACTTAGTAGTTCAAGTGACAAGTGTGGCAAGCAAGCAAATGTTCAGCATAGCCAAATTTACTATTAGTCCAACTAGAAATCATCTTGAGCCAGAAAAGGCCTGTGCTTCTCTCTGTCTTAAAACTTGGTTTGCAACAAGCTTAATAGATTATATAGAAGAAAATTAAAGTAATGCTAAAAAAAAATAAATAAATAAATAAAATAAAGTGTATGGTTATTTTTGCTTTTGGGATATTGTAAAAGATTATTAAATTAAATTTGTATAACAAACTATTGAAAACTAGTTAGATTCAGTTTATGTAATACACTTAGAGATGGGCATGCACATGATCCATGTATGATCGCATGTGTGATTCTGCGCAGGATGCGTGAGATTATTTTAGAGCTCGCGCAGGATTTTTAATATGATCCCAGGTAAAATTATCTGGCCGGCATTATCATATTATCTAACTGGCATTAATATATCTGGCCTGCATTGACATACTTACTGTAAATTTCTCGAAATATCAAATTTTGACCCGAATTAAGCTTAATTTAGGCCAAAAATTGAACCAATGCCCATGCCCCTATTTTGAAAATTTACGGTAGAACAAAAATTTGATTTTCAATAATAATTTTTGCATAGTTATTTATTCGACACAAAAAATTAAAAAACTCATAGATTTGTGATCCTATCCCGTGTAGGATTCGAATCAAGCACATAATCCATGCATGATACACAGGATTTTTGAAAAAACTGTGATTTGCCCATCTCTAAATGCACTACCAGTTCAGAACCGAAACAGTCTATTTTAACCGGTTTAACATCTCTACCAAAGAATGTATATAAGGCCTAAAAATTTATCTTGAATAAAGTCAGTTATCCAATTTAATGTTTTATACATATAACTTATAAAAGTTCATTCTCCTAATTCCACAATAAACTATTTTATCCTGTGATCTCGAATTAGAGTCTCATGATATAGTCTAGAGCTCTATTTGGCCTAATAACTCAGACCAAGTCTTTCTACACCTTTTTCATGCCTTTCAACATTAGGGTTTGGATAGAATTTAGCATTTAGTGTGTTATTTGGATTAGTTTAGTCTTAGTTGATATCTGTGAGGCCCATATTTTGAGATTTCAAATCGATTCTGCCTCTCACAACGTACAGTACATATATATGTTCTTCATTTTGTTGCATTTGATAATGGCTAATCAGAGTGTTATTTAACATGTAATTAATTATAAATTAGATAACAGGTTATAGGTGGACATTCATCTGATTGGCTGATGTAAATCAATTGCTAGGTAATTTATTATACACTTTAAAGTACTTTTGGAAATACAACATTTCACTAACAAATATCACCATAAAAGCTATTTTTCGCTTTAATAGAATGTTTATATTCACCGTGCAAAAATAATCAGTAATAATCAATATCTCTAAGAACTTTACTTAAAAGGCAAAATATGTCTACTGTTTATTGGATTATATCAAATTATACTGTAAAGTAAAGGTAACCAGAAATCTTTTTATCTAAAACTATTTTATTAAGTTAGATTTAAATAAACTTTTATTTTTAACTATTTAATTTGAATAGGTACAAGCTCTTTAACAAGAAGATTTGGGCTTAATATTTAAATTTGGTCAGTTCATGTAGTTTTTTTTTTTTTTTTAATTTTAAGGTGAGGCCTTGCTCATATCTTTATTGGGTAATTTATATAAGTAATTACATAATATTTT